AAAAAAAAAAGGGAATAAAAAAAATCTAAAAAATGTACTAATTGTGAATCTAAACATACACTGAATGCATCATATCGTTGTTGAAGAGACATTCCAGGAATCAATATGGCTGATAAAGACGAAGAACAAATCTCTTGTTCAATGTAAGATGCCACATGCTGATGAGGAGCAACAGGAATAATAGCAGACAATCCAGTAAATGAGGCATTTAATAATTCCATAGTTTGTGAAAATATTGGTAGCATGCGCTTAACCTCTTGCAGCCTGCTTCCGGGAAGTAACGTAATGACCGTGTTACCTGAAATTAAAATTATACGGCCAAGTAAAAATCTATCAACAGAACTCACAATATTTGAGGCTACCTAAAAGCCAAGCAGTGAATTGAGAAGCAACAATCAGGAGATATTCGCTACAGGTTCTCAAAGCCATCTAGTACAAATCAAAATTTCATTGAAGTAAATCTTCATCTTCATCTTAACCTTCACCCAAAAAATTGGGCCAGTTTTAGAAATTCTCATTTTCAAACTGTCCCTACTAAGTGCTACATGAAGTGTACATTATACTTTTCTGATAGGAACTAAACTATTAGCGAATCTTTACGAGGAAGAGCAGCAACCCACATATCCAAATATCAACTAATAATCCACAGCAATCCACATTTGCATGATATCATCAGTCAATAATTAAATTTTCTAGTATCAAAATGACTGTTAAAATAAACTACAAAAATGGCAGCGCTGCTTTCTTCCAACTTAATATGAAACACTTCATATTACCAGGAGGAATTCCATGTTGTTGCCGAAAAGCATCACCATTTCCTTGGAACCCCCCATTACATGATGTTGAACCATGTTCCTGCAAGAAAGCAGTTTTAACTGACCACATAATGGCATAAATGACTATTTATAAATGAATTCTCTAAGCAATACATAGAAATGATCCCAAAAAAAAAAAAGAAAAACATGATGCAGCCAGTCCATAAAATTGTAGCAATTAAAGGAGGAAAGACACTCCCACCATGTTCAATTGAAAAGCATATTCCAACAAGGGGTGACCAACATAAGATGCAGCAAGTCCATTTAATCTGCAAATTTCTTCTTCAAAGGGAAGAATGCATAACAAATAGTCAACAAATTCAGAGAGTTTTCCGAGTCTTCGTTCACCTCCTTTCCATGCCCAAAATGATGGTGCAACATAATGGACACATATGGGACAATGCTCTTCCTTACTATATCTAACTGTAAATAGATTTTTGTAATTTCAAATTTACAAGCTAAGACAATATATGTTAGAATTCTAAATAAGAAATGAGCAAGGACCTGTTAAAATATCCTATAACCTTTTAGTTGCTTCAACAAACGAAAAGAGAATCCCTTTGAATCAATTGTCACCACAACATGAGGCTGGAACAGCCTTGCTACTTCGACGGTTTCTTTCAACCTTATCTGCCACAACGAATTCCACTATAAGAGAATATCTTTAATAATAATTGATGATTCAGTTTTATTAGAACTGAAGAATTACATGAAATGAAATTCACCCTTATTTTATTTAAATACGGCAGCAATTCAAAGATCCCCATGACTGAAATGTCTTCCATGGGAAAGAGAGACTGAAGACCTTCGCAGTTCATTAAAGCTCTGACAAAACAAAGAATTCTCAATCAAACTAAGTCAAATCAAAGCTTAGTTTTACAGTACTACATACTGAATTTAAAAATGACAAGCCTCAGTTCCTCACACTGGTTATGTCTTAAAAACTATATATAAAGGATACTTATATATAATCATCATCAAAAGCAATAGCCTTCTCCTAATTACTTAGGTTGTTATTATGAATTTCATTTCTCATTTGTTTATGTTAAGTGTTGCCTATGGAATTGAACCTATTCTCCACAAACCTTTTTTCAACAAACTTCAATCCGTATTATTCAAGATTGTTATTATGAATTTCATTTCTCATTTGTTTATGTCAAGTGTTGTCTATGGAATTGAACCTATTCTCCACAAATCTTTTTTCAACAAACTTCAATCCGTATTATTCAAGCCGACTGCTTCTCCTCCCTAATCCCTCACATTAGTTTCAGAAAACTGTAACTTCCCTTAGAATTCTTCAAATCTCAAAAGATACTTGAATCATTGAATTTACATTGAAATGCAAATCATTGTAGCTCAAGAGCATTTATCCCAATGCAAATTCAATGGTACTTTTATCCGGAGGGAATTTTTTCTCTCATAGAATCAACGCGGTCACAAAACAAAACCTAAAAAAAGGTTACGGAACTGACGCAGTTTAGCAGGAAAAATTTCAACTTGGATTGGAAATAAACAGTGGAAGAAGAAATATTAATGAAGTAAGGTGACATTGTACATATTAAATGACTGGGACACGGATAGTAATCTAGAATGAACTCCTTTAATCAACATCATGCCCATTCCTTCCTTTTGGGATTGCAGCCTAACAAATCGAAGCTTCGTGATGTCATTGTTTCGAGTATATACTTGTATTCTAATGCATTCCCATTAAGCTCTTTTAATTCTCAGGAAATCGATCAGAAAGAGAAAAAAAATCAGTATCAATTAGAGAAACTGACCAAAAACGAAAAACCTAGAACAGCAAGAAGATAGAACATTGCTCCATAAACAAAGAAGCCAGAACACAGAAGCAGTCCACGAACTGACCCTCCGACTCCGGAAAAACGGACGGGAAAAGGGGAGATTCTCTTGAGGGAAGCCATGAGGCGAGAAGCAATGGAATCACCAGAGACCTCGCCGGCGACTATGAAAACCCTCAGCTCGCCATCTCGTGATGCCATATCGACGACTCTTCTGCTGCAGGTCGACGAAGCTCTCGCCGTGGCGTTCCGCTGGCCGAACAGAGTTGCCGAAACTGCACGAACCGCCTTCCACCACATCTCCCCTGGAATGATTTAGTTTATTAGGCTTCCGCAAAAAGTTCAGCATTGGCCTTCAAGATTTACGATTGGAGTGATTGGGTTGCAAACAATATATTTTTGATCGGTGTTGAAAAAGTGGAGATGGTGCCAAATTAGCTCGGCTCTCCCTCTTCATCAATGTCGATATTTGATATCTAGTCCATTCACAAGTTGTTACCTTTAATATGAAGTTTATAAAAGTCATAGTTTGTATCTTAAAAATGATAACTAATTGTTGAATTCAAATCTCTTAGATTGTGTTGAAGGAATAGAGCTTGAGGACCAAGGAAATAAGATTGAGAGGGGGTGAAAGAGAGAGAGTGAGAGAAGGTGAAGAGGACTTGCTCCGTCGGAACAAATGGGGGTGTTATGAAGCTCTTACACCATCTTATTCCACAAAACATAGATATTACAAGTGGGGAGGATTCATAGGCCCCCTTTACATGAAAGTGCCATGCTATTTATAGATGAAAAGAGGGTCAAAATAAATTACAACATTGCTCTTTCTTTAAAGGGGTTAGTATAGGATTTTTCGGGTATTTTGATATTCTTATCTGGACTATTGGATTGCCTTGAGATCCGTGCTGGCCATTTTTGAATATACAAATTAAGTTTTTCAATTTTCTACTCCTTCATAGTGACAACTATCATAATGATAAATAAATTTATAAAACAAACAAAACATGATCACATAAATCACTATCAATACTGCCTGTTAGGTTTGTTTAGGTTGAACAAGAAGATGATCGTCATAGTACCCCTTATCGAGCTTGTCATTGCGAGGTAGCAAGTCATCTTAAGAGCCGAAGACGATTATCGTATACTTCTCGCGGAGCTTTTCGTTGTCCGGTAGTGAATCATCTTAAGGGCAAAAAACAATCATTGTACACCATCGCAGAGTTTGTTGTTGTTGGGTGACGAGCATCTTAAGAGCCAAAGATGATCTTCGTATACCCCTCGCAAAGCTTGGCGATGTCGGGTGGCGAGTGTTGTTGCGAGAATTAAGATATACACCAGTTGATGTGGTATATTTATAAATCAAACAGAAGAACGATCGACGAAGCGAAAAATAGAACAAGAAAAATTTACACCATAAAACAATAACACCACAACGGAACACACAGATTTACGTGGTTCGGCAAATTGTCTACGTCTACAAATTTGCAGAGGATTTTACTACTTGAGGAATTTACGTTAGTCGATCACTTCGACTTATAAGAGGAATCTATCACTCTCACTTAGTTGCTCTCTCTTCTTCTCTCTCTTTATTCTTCTCTCTCTACATCGAGATACACTGAGATACACTGAAGAAAATAAATATATAAGAGAAATAAAAATCAATTTATCTTCTGCCACAAGCCACGAAGAAGAAGCCAAGGGAGAACAATCTTCTTCTTCTTTCTTCTTCCTTCACCGCAAGAAACTACTTCTTGCACCTTCCTTTTATCCCGAGGAAACCTTCCTCTATCCCCAGGAAACCGAAGAACACCGTGACTTCTCTCACTGAAGGAGAGCCACTGCGATGCTTTTTATCGCGAACAAGAAGGGAGGTTGGCGGTGCTCGACGTCTCGCGAATATCGCGACCTCTCACGACAGTGGAGCGGGAACAGGTGAGCGGGACGAAGCTTCGCTTCGCTTCGCTGCAGACTCTGGCGCCAATTCACGAAAAGGGAGGAGCGGGAGCAGGATTAGCGAAACATCGCGATCGGGAGGCGGGAGCAGGAATTCGAACCAGTCTCTACACTAACAAATCTCCCAATTGGAAACCGGTACACCTACTACAACGTCTTCTTGCTCGAACTGAATCCTCCATTGTGAATGCTCCACTTTGAATACTCTACCTCTGCAACTCAAAACCCTCTCTTCACTCGAGAAAACCAACTGAAGTTGTGCACAATTTCTGTTTCTCAAGAGTAACACCCTCAGTCAACATTGTCTTGCACCTCCATGTTATTTCCTGAATTACTCTTATCTTTGCTTACAACTCCCATTGCATGGGCAATATCCTGCCTCTGCGAAAGTCTTTTTCAACAAGTCTAGCCTTGTGTCTCTTATTGTCATCACGCTTAGTCATCACCTGGTACACCCACTTGTTGTGTAATTGCTTCTTCTTGGTGGAAGTTCTGCCAACTCTTACTTGCTCGAACTTTCATCTTGCAAGATTTCTTCATAGCTCTTTCGTTCTCCAACATCTGCCTGTGGAACAATAGGAATGGGTGCCCCAGACCCACTTTTCTCTTCACTTCCATCATAAACAGAACTATGAACTGCCAACAATAGTGCATCTGATACTTCTTCAGATACCACATTTGCGTTATCATTATCCATCTTCTTGGGATTCCTGTAGTTCCTCCTTATGTGGTCAGCCTTGCCACAATTCCAGCAGGTTGTCTGCTGACCCGCTGCTGACCCGACTTTGATTTTGATCTCTCTTTATTTGAGTTTTTGTCATGCCATCTCTATCTGAAATCAACATTCAGTGCCGAACTTGTACCTGAGATCTCGCCAGAATCTTTTCTGCGAACTTTCTCAACCAAAATAAAATCACGAATATCATCACATTTCAGTTTATATTTACATACAAAACTGCTAATTGTCATCCTCATGACTTCCTAACTATTTGACAACGATGCCAACAATATCAGCCCACATATCTCATCATCAAAATCAATTTCAACAGACAACAATTGATTTGTGATTGTATTGAAATCATTCAGGTGTTGAGCAACAGAAACATCTTGTGCCATCTTCAAATTGAATAACTTATTCATCAAGTACACCTTGTTATTTGCCAATGGCTTTTCATACATACCTGATAAGGCTCCCATGAGATCTCCAGGCATCCTCTCCATGACGACATTGTGTGTAACGGACCTCGATAGGGTCAATCGAATAACCCCCAGAACTTGTCGATCCAACAAATTCCATTCAGCCTCATCCATCCTTTCAAGTCTTTTTCCAAATAACGGAAGATGAAGTTTCTTCTCATAAAGATAATTCTCTATTTGCATTCTCTAGTAACCAAACTCTGTGCCATCAACTTCTCGATCCCTGAAATCTTCACTTCACTTGCAGCCATCATTCTTCCTCAGATCCAAACAAAGCTCTAATATCAGTTGTTGTGGCGGGATCTATAGATATACTAGACCAGTTGATGTGGTATATCTATAAATCAAACAAGAGAATGATCGATGAAGCGAAAAATAGAACGAGAAAAATTCACACCATAAAATAGTAGCACCACAGTGGAACACACAGATTTACGTGGTTCGGAAAATTGCATACGCTCACGAAGTTGCACACACAGATTTACGTGGTTCGGCAAATTGCATACGCTCACGAAGTTGTAGAGGAATTTACTACTTAAGGAATTTACACCAGTCGATCACCTTGACTTACAAGAGGAATCTCTCACTCTCACTTCGTTGTTCCCTCTTCTTCTCTCTCTACATCGAGATACACTGAAGAAACTTTACATCGAGATACACCGAAGAAGATAAACTTACAAGAGAAATAAAAATCAATTTCCCTTCTACCACAAGCCACGGAGAAGAAGCCAAGGGAGAACAATCTTCTTCTTCTTTCTTCTTCCTTCACCATGAGGAACTACTTCTTGCAGCTTCCTTTTATCCCGAGGAAGCCTTCCTCTATCCCGAGGAAACCGAAGAAGAAGACCGTAACTTCTCTTACTGAAGGAGAGCCGTTGTGATGTCTTTTAGCGTGAATATGAAGGGAGGTTGGAAACGTTTTGTGAATATCACGACCTCTCGTGACAGTGGAGTGGGAACATGTGAGCGGGACGAAGCGAAGCTTCGCTTCGCGGTAGACGCTGATGCATATTCGCGAAACGGGAGGAGCGGGACTGGGATTTGTGAAACATCGCGATTGAGAGGCGGGAGCGGGAATTCAAACCAGCCTCCACACTAACAACTAGTCATCTTAAGGGTTGAAGACAATCATTGTATATCTTTAGCAGAGCTTTTCGTTATCATGACACCCATCCTCGGGTTACTGTCTCCATGGTATGCCTACCCTTGCTGAGCCACTGCCTCCAAGACACACTTTCAACACTTTTTCACATGAATGTTTGCATTTGCATGCACACGTGAATATCGAGCCAGACTTGATAATGCAAACCCTTTTCAAAATTCATCCCGGGTGACCCCCTTTAGATCCCTTGGATCTTTAAAATGAGGCTGGTGTGGCGAATCCGTCAAAGTCATACATACTCGAAGACCTACCATGCACTTATATGCTGGTTAGGGCAATTCTCGTTAGATGGTATTATAGGTTAAGATTTAGGATGATAAATAGTTTTTTTTATGCCTCTTGCTATTATTCTCTACTGGTTCGCATGTGCAAGCATGCATCAATTTTATGTTTTTTGTGTGCTTGTGTGCTTGATATTCATGATAGTATGTTAGGGCATTCTTTTGCAGGGAGTTGTGTCTATAGATATGCACACACACATATCATTAAGGGGGAGTACGTAATGATTTTTAACATTTTGCTTGCCAATGTCATTTAACTCCCCCAATTAAAAGCACGGCTTGTTATACGTTGCATGTCTGTTAACTTTCTCACTAACGTTTTTATATAAGTTGAGTCTTTATTTTTTCTTTCAAATGTATTTGATAGAGTCACTAGGAAGAGTCTGTATTCAAAATAAGGTACAAGCATGTGTTTCGAGGAAGATGACATATCCAAACACGTGACGGGAATCATGAGCGACAACTTGTGTTCAATATCTTAAGTCTAAATTCTATATTTTTAAATTGATCTAGGACCAATCATATATATGCAAAGTTTGAGATATGTCGCATTTCCCATTTTTTTCTAGAATATGTCGTTGCCCCAGCGACACAGACATCTTTTATATATTTTGGAGTGCTTTTACTTTCTATTGTGTGCTTGCATCTTTGGATTGTTTTCTTTATTTATTTTTAATTTATCTCGAATGTCATAAAAATTACAATTTAGGCTCACTAGGACCTTAAAATTATACATTTTTCTATATAAAAATCTTAATAAGAGATTCAATATAAATTATAAAAGATTCAAGATTTTTAAAATCAGTCTTTTACTTTCCTGCATGGCATTCGGGCCAGTTTTAAAACAAACTACATTATATGGGCATAACCGAAGTCATA